GGTCGGCTGCCAGAGCGTGGAGGCCACTGTCCGTCAACGGCGCCTGCTCTTTGCGGGGGCCGTGGCAAGACAGCCAGACGGGCGGCTTCCGAAACGGCTGATGTTCGGCGAGTTGGTGGGAGGGGAGAACCCGGGCCGGGGAAGCCCGGAGCAGAACTGGCTGATATGCCTGAAGGACGACCTGAAGATGTTCGAAGCCAGACACGGCTCCACGCCCGACAAGCGGAGCTTCTTCGGAATCCCGAAGCCAGACTGGGACGATGCGGAGGAGGTGGAGGGGGGGGTACCGTGGCACGCGGGGGTGCTACAGGGAGCTGAGAGGTTTATGGCCTCTTGGCACAAGGGCGAGGAGAAGGCCAGCCGACAACGAGCCATCAAACGAGGAGACAGCGGGCCCAAAAATAGTCTAGATACGGCACCAATCAACGGGGCAGGAGGGGGGCGGGAGGAAACGGCGCGGGAAGAAAGCAAGCGAGAAGAGACCGACCGCGTGACGTGATGCGAAGGTGTACCGACTCAGGTAAATGTCAATCGACGGATACCCTGCGAATCGGGTCCTCCTTAACACTCTCCACCCACAGAATTTACCCTCAACTGGGAACCTCTTGTGGCCATGATGGGTAATTCGATGGAAGTGTCACATCGTTCTTTGTAGGATCGACTCCAAAAGGTGTTCTCAGGACTGACACACATTGTGTCCACGGGAAAATATCCAAGTCAGGAGAAAAAGTGTGCACCCAAGGAGATTCGAACCAGTATCCTGCCGCTGACGCCATATGCGAAGGTGTACCGATTCAGGTAAAAGTCAATCGACGGATACCCTGCGAATCGGATCCTCTCTAACACTCTCCACCCACAGAATTTACCTTCATCTGGGAACCTTTTGTGGCCAGGATGGGTAATTCGATGGAAGTGTCACATCGTTCTTTGTAGGATCGACTCCAAGAGGAGTTCTCAGGACTGACACACATTGTGTCCACGGGAAAATATCCAAGTCAGGAGAAAAGGTGTGCACCCAAGGAGATTCGAACCAGTATCCTGCCGCTGACGCCATATGCGAAGGTGTACCGATTCAGGTAAAAGTCAATCGACGGATACCCTGCGAATCGGATCCTCTCTAACACTCTCCACCCACAGAATTTACCTTCATCTGGGAACCTTTTGTGGCCAGGATGGGTAATTCGATGGAAGTGTCACATCGTTCTTTGTAGGATCGACTCCAAGAGGAGTTCTCAGGACTGACACACATTGTGTCCACGGGAAAATATCCAAGTCAGGAGAAAAAGTGTGCACCCAAGGAGATTCGAACCAGTATCCTGCCGCTGACGCCATATGCGAAGGTGTACCGATTCAGGTAAAAGTCAATCGACAGATACCCTGCGAATCGGATCCTCCTTAACAGTGACATGTTGCGGTTGAATTTCAGCGACTAGTTTTTCTGTTGCCCTCTCCCCTGTTTGCTGTCGCGTTCAGACTGTCTCTACGGATATCACTGTCTCTGTGCGAGTTTGTTTTTGTCCTCGTCTGTCTCTGGTTTATTTCGTGTTTTTTTATTTTTTGGCACGTGCTGCTGACCCTTGGGGTCCTTCCGGAAGGCTACCCGCCAGGCTGGTGGTGCGCACGTTCCACTATTTATTTATTTATTTGTTTCTGATTCTTTTGTTTTCTTGTATTTTATCGCTCTGCTAACCCTTGGGGTCCATTTTATTTTGGTATACCTTTTCTAGGTACGGTAGCCTGTGACCACGGAAATTGACCGAGTCAAGTGCTGGATTAGTACGGAGAGATTGAGACAGAAGGAGGTACTGGATAGAGAGACCGGGATGGTTTTTAATGTGAAGACAACAACAACAACAACCCAGCGATAGAACAAAAATTAGAACTACAAGTAGTGACGCTGACAAGGGAGAGGCTGGGAAGCCCTCCTACAGGCCAGGTAGATTTTGCTACAGAGATGAAAATGATCGGAGTACATAGTCGGTGGCCCTCAATAGCGGTAGGTATTATGATAGTGACAATCGATTGCGGTGCCGCCATAGAGGGCATTCCGCTATTGCGCTTTTGAGGGTGCCGTCATTTAGGACCGCCGACTGTATTCAGGAACAAAAGTTCACCCGGGAATATGTTGCCAGTCGGAGTGAATAAATCTGTGTGTTGGGCCGTGTTCGTCCTTCCGATATGGCCACAACCCGGGCGAGAGATGGGCGGAAGCTTGTCGTCTTGGCGTAGTGGCGACGTTCGTGTGAAGGATGCATGTGTTGACTGCAGCTAGCTGTCGTTGGAGCCACAGCAACGACGCCGCTGCAGTTTTGCCGCTTGAAACTAGATAGGCGTGTTTGCGGCCTACGCCATTCATTTATCGGGTCAGAACAAGGTTGCGAGAAAAATGGGAACTAATTTTGAAATGGGAATGAACACCACCCCCGTCTTGTGTTCACCCTTTGGATTTAGTTATGATCGAAAGCGCTATCGAATCTTTTCCGCGGGCAGAAACAGTTCATACAGGCGTTGGTGACCACGCCTGTTGTTGCCATGGCGAAAAACATCACGGGAGACAGACGGAACGTGTTTTCAGGAGGAAAGTAGAAGAAAGTATAGCTTCGGTGATTATCCGGGAGAGGGTGTGATATGAAACGTTGCGAGATTCAATGCCATATCATAACTTTGAGGTGTTTCCGGAGCATTTTCGGCGGTAGAGATGCAGGGTGCATAAAACATTCATAGTGGAGACATGGTGGTGGAGAGGAAAGGCTCCTCTTCCCCACGCAGGTCAAGTACGCGAGTTTGTGACCGAAGTGCTATCCGTGTGTGTGTTAGACCACGCATTCGGCGACCTAAGGTAAACGAACCCGCTTGAGTCTCGCCGCCTCCCGATGCCGCCCCACAGTGTTGATTTATCGT